TCACACAGAAAAAGCAACAAGCATTAACTTTTGGGCCTGACTAGTTTTCAAACATGCACATACCACCAAGAGCATGTGTCAGAATGTGCTCTGCTCTATATACGACTGATTCAAAGTAAAGACTCTTGGAATCTGACCTAATGTTGTCAGTCTAATCCAAACTCTATTAAAAGCATGCTGCCCACCTTGAACGGTGCTTAGCATTTTTGGAAAGCCTCACCAAGTGCCTTCAGCTCCCAAAGGAACAACTGGGCTCTAAGAATAAGACTGCTCCCACTCCTACTACTTTAGTAGTTTCTTAATTTACGTTTATTCTTTGCTTTTCAAAGAATAAAAGCTCTTCTGTTCTTTTTACGTTCTATGCTTTTGCTCTAATGTACATGTCTTTATAACACCTTCTCAGTATCAGTATTTTTCCTGGTAAGAATTATTGTATCAGCTCCTTCAGTCTGTGGACAAATTATCATCCTAGATCAGGAAGGAAAAAAAAAAGGTAAAAAAAAGTGGCATTTTGTCAGAAAATGCATCTTTTATTACTTTCTCATTTTTCCCCTTTGCTATTACAGTTAGGATTGAATATACATTAAGAATTAAAAATGAAATGAACCCAGTAAAACATTCAGCAATGAACAGAGAGCAAGCTCAGACAAAAAGAAAGCTTCACTAGTTCTTTCTCTGTCTTGCTTCCTTTTTCAATTTTTTAATAAGTGAAATCTCCTGGAATAGTTTTTATGACTCTTGTAAGGCTTCTTTAATGGTCCTTTTGCATGATAAAAATGTACAGTTAAAAACTCTAAGTTAATTCATATTTTCTTCTCCGGCACTGGCACAATCAGCTTTATAATCCAGATGATACCTTTTCTGTGGACCATAATTAGCTGCTTAAAAATTTCCTAAGCTGTTAATTTCATTTCTTGTATCAAAGATTATTTGCAGAAGACATGCCTTGTCTCTTCCAGGTAGGAATACTGAAAGAGACTACCCGCTGTTTCAGTTATTAAATTCACAGAAAAAGTGCTTATATTTGAACACTCAGTTATAGACAACTCACACAGCCATTCTCCTCATCTGGAGGAAGCTGCTTCCCCAGCATTACATCTCACGTGGGTTTTGCCACACACCATTTCACAGCTGTTTTTTGTACAACCTTCCAAATGCTAATGGTCCCAGAGGTGAAAAAGCTGTTTTAAGCCTCTATTTTAAGGAGGAGGGGGAAAAAATAAATAAATAAATCCCTACAACATAGGTCTACATTGGAAACTGAAAGAGAAGGTATTTAGACAAAGGCTGGCTGCTCCCCTACTGTTGAGGGGCTCTCTCTATTACAAGGAGTTGCACACAAGACAAAAGATGCAAAACTACACAAATTTAAGTTAGGGAATAACAAGATCAAAGTAATTGACTTAAGTCACTAACCATCCTTCCATAACAAAGCTCTGACCAGGCCAGGGCCATAGTCACATCTAGATAGAGTTGTACTTGCCTCCTATCAGATTGGGGAAGGCAATGCTTGCACCTGATGTTTTTGCTCAAAACTCAAAAAATCTTTTGCTTACTTAGTTGGAAGTTGAGGGGCTTTGCTTTTCTTTAAGAACAGAATTGAAATGCTTTTGGTAGGCCTTGGAGAGCTCCACAGATTGCTACTAGATGCAGAATGAGTTTCTTAGAATAACAAATAGTGTTATTTCAGCACCTTACATGGACTTTTATCTTTTCCTTGCATTGCACTCACTGTACCTTCACCGTCTTTCTCATTAGAGCCCATTTCTTTTTTTTTTTCCATTCTTGTCTTTCCTTACACTGTTTGCACTTCTTTATTCTTGTTCCCTATCCATGTATCAAAACTATTCTGTTGAAGAGCAAACGTCAGAGTGAAGTTTTCTGGGCATCGAATGTGCTTTTTGATGCTCAAAGTGCAGCACAAAGAATTAAGATTAAAAGCACTGAGTGATACAGTAGAGATTAGAGAGACCAGAGAATGCTAAAGACACACAAAGAGTGCAGGAAAGCTAAAATCACTTCAAACATTAATAGACTTTTGTGCCATATTCTACAAAAAATGTTCCGTATCTTAAGCTTGAATCTTTTATTCTTTTTTTTTTATTCTATTTCAAGCAGTTCTCTGATAAGATGAACATCCAAACTTGTTAAAAATTAATGTTGTTATAGAGATATGGATAACACACACATAGATATCTATGTATATATATTTTCAGGAATATAATACACTGTGAAGACTTCTGTTAAACCAATAGTTAGTGCCTGAAAAACACAATCATGAAAGTCTTCGTGCACAGGACTATTGCGGAGGGAGGCAGAGATCATCTTGGAAACGTGATGGGACTACAAAGATCCTTTTCCCTCACATTTCTTTTTCAAATAGAAGTTAAGAAATTTTATACACTATAACCACTAGTAGATGATATAACACAAAGGGATACACAGTAAGATGTCTCCTTAAGGAAGATAAGGCTGAAGATTCCCCCCACCCTTTTGGGTGGGGATTTCTTCATAAACTTTGTTTAGAAACACGTGGAAAAGGTCTAATTGTGAGCTATCTCCATCAAGTATATTGTAACTAGGAAGTACCTCATGGGCAGTGCTTGTAACTCAAAATCCAAATAAAGGAAGAGGAAAGAAAACTTATCTTAGACTATACTTTACTTATTTTATTTTTTTTTTTTTAATTATAAATAGCTTGAAATTCTTAATTTTCTAGGTAAACCAATGCTCTACCCTCACAGTTCAATTATCATTCACTGGAGTTTTAAAACAATTCCTCTTTTTGTTGCAGATGCCATAGGATCTAAAAAATAACCAGGGCAGTACCATAATATTCATTGGTATGGCTTATAAATCACAGCTTTATTTAAGAAAAAAGGGGGGGAGGGAGAAGAGATATATTTTACAGGTGAACACTGATCTATGCTCTCCATGAGTTTAAAAAGAATAACTGGAAATAATAGAGGTTGTTTGGATCACCAGGCTACCTAGCAAAATGTACCTTTCCACCCCAACCCACTGCAGCAGGCTAACTCCCTTTGAGCAAGTGCCGTCATTAATCCCACACAGTTCTCATAGTATATGCAACCTTGCCACTACTAAGAGTTGCTCCCAGATTTCCTTTGCTTAGATACAAAGAGAGACAGCTGTTCTCACCAGGCGAATATCAAGGTGGCAGTTTCCCTAGCAACAATAGCTTAAGAACCCCCCCCTTAATCATGCAAATTCTCAGCAATTCAGAACAAGTGCAGGAGAATAGATTTAGTCTGAGCTGCATCACTAGAAGAACATAGTTCATATAGTTGCATGAATTCAGTAGTTCACTACCCTTACTGTGGGGAGGGGATAGGGGTTAACTGAGAGCCCAGTCCTCCAGCTTGACTGATGCCTTTTGTTTTCTTTTTAAATAGCCTACAAGAAACCCCACTTAGTAATGATCAGCGTTCAGGAGAATAATTCATTAGACTATCTGTCAAATGTTTGACCTTTGATCAATGAAAAAAATAATACACTGAAGAATTTGCAAGATTCAGATAAAAACAAGTTTCCATAAAGCACTAAGCATGTATGAATTGAAACTGATTCATGAGGTTAAATACACCTACTGAGACTATTTCACATGTGGCTGTACTCTGTTGATTTATTTGCAAGAGTTATTTGATAGTTCTTTCAGAAATGAATGATGTGGCAATGAGAATCTTGATGTTATGATGAAATCAAATATAGAACACGCTAAAGTTCAACCACCATCAGGTTTCTTTGCCAACTGAAACTTGATTTAGTGGCATAGGAAGGACACAGTTTCCACAGACTTGTTAGCAAATTTAGACTGAGTTTGGAGCAAACAGAGCAGTTTACCCCATGTCAGGGCAACCTCTGATGACCTAAGAGAGGACAGAACCTAGATGAATGCTCTGGAGGAACTGCTATAAGCTCAGTTCTTCTGGCAGCATTCTGGCTCACCAGAGGCTTCATACTGAGACCACAAATTCGGAGGAAGAGTGACCTTCCCCTGACCAATTCACAGCCATTTTGTGATAAGATCAGAAAAACCTTTGATCTTTCCTAGAAGCAAGGGTAAAATCCCTTCTAATCACTTTTGCTTTACAATGCCACTCACACCTAGACACCATGGAGGAAAGAAACAATATGAAATAAGAAAACAAAGTGAAAATTCTCATGACAAAAAAAATAAAGTACCACAGTTCTCCTTCTTAAACCAAGCACAGCAAGACAGAAAGCAAACAGTTGCCAAATACAAGCAAGTCCTCATAGCACCAAAATTTGCAGCTCCCCTCCTAATCAACAGAAATTTACATCCAAGAGAATCACACACATAAAGGTGTTTTCAGGCCTCAGTAAGTCAAAGCAAACACCTTAGCAAGGATCTCATTTTTGAGTAGAGGCCTCCCATGGTCTTCTATGCTTGTGTCAGCTAGGTTGGGTAGTATCTGGTAGTCACAGAAGGCAGAGATAACGAGCAACATATTCCAGTTTGCTTAAACATGCAGGGAGTATGAGGCAGTGAAGAATTCACTTAATTATGTCATTTTGCATTTGTGAATATGTTACAAATAAAATTTGGATTATATAACAAAAACATTAGGGATGACACGTAAGAAAGTAATGGCAGGGAAGGCATGTAAATGCAACCCAAGGTTTCATTGCTTATGCAGTTCTCACTGCCGTCTGCCTTGTTTTTCCAGTTATTTTCATCAGGACCATTAATCCAAACAGAAAATAACACAGGATGCTGCTTCCTGTGGCTACATTTTCTCTCATTACCTTAAGAAGGAGAACTGTATAGTTTTTAACCTCAGGGGAATCAGAATTGTTATACAATCATTTTGAGAACAGCACATGAAAAATGGGCTGAAATAGAAAACATCATACAGTCTCCCACTTAACAACAAGCAGGCCTACTGGTCCAAAGCTAAAAGTCTTAATGCAGTTCCCTAGCAGTTTTAAAATGAACAAAAAAGAGACAACCTACTCACCCACCAGAACACCTCTCCCCAGCATGAGACCCAAAGCCACTTCTATTTTTTTTTCCTCTCTACATCCCTTTTTTATCTTATTTTTTTCTCTTCTCATACTCAACAGAAACTGCAAATGAGAACAAACACTTAAGAAACTAGTCCCTGCCTCTTTTCCAACTTTTAAATGAGTTGAACTTCCTCTTTGCCATTAGTGCCAGCTGCACTAATGCTGTGGGATGAAGCATGGTTTTCTTTCCAGGGAGTTGGTTAATCCTCCTTGTCCCCACAGAGATCTCAACCTGCTGTTGCAAATGGCTATAAAACACACCTTTGTGCAATTACACCGTTAGGTGCCTTCCTACTACCGTCATTGTCTTCTAAGGCTGGAAGAAAGTTCAAGAACCCTGCCTGTTTCAAGTTTTCACATCCCTTAAGGAAGTCTTATCTTCAAGAGAGCAAGCTGTGGAGGATACATTTTTTCACCCTTCTTGAAACTAAAATAAAAATAGATCGGTTTTATTATTTTTTTAAATGAAGTCTAGGGCCACTGCTCAGGCATATTCCTTGAGCTGCAGGTGAGAGGTGGGAAGGCACAAGATAATACCGAGGGTTGAGCCACAGGGTACTGAAAGAAATTATGAGGACAACTACTTCTTATGCAGCACTCCTCAGGCAGAGCTGGGTTAGCGGGATGGCTGGTTACAGTAGAAACGTTGTTCTTTTTTTGTTTTTCTTCTGAAGTATGCACAACCCCTCCAGTCTTTGAGTTCACCCACACACCTGGGAGCTCACTGGGGAAGTTTCTGCTTTGCTCTGAAGAGGAAGGCAACTGAGGGCTGCCTGGCTCCAGCTCTCACAATGCAGATGAGGCTTTGTACCCCTCCAAGTCCAGCAGAACCTACATGATGAACATCTCCTCCAGCAATCAGTGATCTCCCTCCAAAACCCCATGAAGTAACCTAAAATGTGTATGTGTGCAAATACAAGTCAGCAGCAAGTTGTCCTCAAAGCCTCCACAAACAGCATGGCGTCTTCAGCCATCAGCCCTGCCATCATGCACAGAAACAAACAGCAAATCGCACGGCTTCGGAAGAAGAAAAATAGCAAGGGCTCCCTTGGCAGCAATAAATAAATAAATAAATGTTTTGTGATTTTGTTCTAATGCCTGGGTTATTAGTATTTCACTACAGTCAGAGACATGAGGTGTCCGGTGAGGGGGTGTTGCTGCTGTGATGCCATGGGCTGCAGGCTGGCAGCAGCTCTCCTGGGGAGGGGGCTGAAATGGGGACAATGGGGGGGTCCTGCTACAGGGCTGCCCTGCCACAGCCACTGCTATCCAAAATCACGCTGTCCAAAAGCACAGCCTGTTCGGTGGAAGAAGTCCTGCAGGCCTCAGCACTGCTCCACAGCACGCAGGCCCTGCCCACGAGGGCTTGCCCAGGTGACTGGGCTGGGCCTGGTGCCTGCCACCATTCCCTCAGACACAGCACACCCCAAATGGCCTCAGTTTTCTGAAACCTGCCCTGTCACCCTATTCAGAGGCAGATCTAGCTGAGGGAGCAGATATTTGTGAGAACCTCCTTTATCAACATAGGAGCAGGAAGGTTTTATTGCACGTGTGCTAAATGGGAGCCCTGGCCCACCCCTGTGCTCACTGCAGTCGCAGGGTTCCTGTCATGAACCAGGTATTTTGGAGCATGACCATATCAAAGAAGGTGGCTGCTTTCATTTAAATAGCAGACAATGTTTATATCTTCCATACTCCTAAGTATTTTAAAAAGTTTATTTGCCTTGAAAAGATTCAAATATTTCTTTTCCAGATCACACCCTAATGAAGAATGTAACAGGTATACAAAGGTGCTGTTAATAGTAACCTTACTTCTCCACTTCTTTTCTGTGTAAAAGAACAGAAATTCTGGAAGGCTGGGCAAGGAAAATGCCCATTGCCTGCAGTCAGGACACTTAACCTCTCTGCGGATTATTTCTAAACTTGTGTCTAGTGGTCTGCTCTGAAAATGAGCATTACTTAATGCAGTTTTGCAGGTAATTGGAGGAGACAAACCTTTCCTGTTTTCTGCTTTTCCTTCTCCGAGAGCTGAGCATGTGTCTGCTTTTATCAGCCACCTCACCCCAACAAGCAGCCCACAGAGACGTGGCTAGGCTGAAGGTGAAGCCTCTGGGGAAACTCCTACCTGCTCTTTCCCTTCCTCTAACAACTTGTATTTCTTTTGCTATTGAGCTCTTCACTTTCAGCATCTCCTTCTTCATCAGATCAAAAGCTTCATAAGCTTTTATATCCTATCAGGATGGAAGGAAAAAAAATAAAACGAAATCAGCTTTTCAGGCTCATCTAAGCCTATGTTCAAGTGCGTGCCTTTCCGCTAAGTGCTACGTGCTGTATTTTTGAATATCTGACTGGATTTTGGCCTGCAGCTGGGTTAAGCTTCTAGGGAGAGAGTGCAAATGAGCAAGAACACTTTTCTGGAAAGGAAAAATTTAAAAAAAATATAAAAAAAACTCCCAATAGGAAGAGAGGTGGGCAGGCTGCTATGGCAGGGCTGTCCCTGGCATGGGCATTTGCAGCAGGGCCCTCCCAAGGACAGATCCAGAAATCACCCTTGGTCACTAATGTATAATGTATCAGGACAGACGTAACATGACTAGTGTAACTCAGGCCACTAAAAGGAGGAAATATATATATTCACTTTTTTTTTTTTTTCCTAAATCTGTTGGAGCTAGAGGTTCTACCTAATTTTAATTAGTAAATTTTCTAAATAGTTAAAAACAGATCACAGAAATGAGATTACCTGAAACATGGCTGGCATTCTGTTGCAATCATTTCTTAAATGATATGTGGAATACTCAAGGTCCAATCTCTTCTACTGTAATGGAGCCTGTATTTGAGTCTGGTTCTTCAGCAACCTTTTGTTCCTGAATATTTTGGGAGGATTCACCCTTTCTGACCAGAGGTTCCACTCCATACTGATGAATGCCCAGAAAAATAGCTGCAGGAAAGGAGTGTTCTTCCTTCAGAAACTGTTCACACCAAGAGAATTGCTGTCTTTCTCTTTACTTCTCACTGCCTCTAACAAGGTGAATAAGGGATAACAAAAGTTTAAATATCTGGAGATCAGCCTCTGATGTTCTCATTTTATTTTCACAATATTCTTTGATTTAAAAAAAAATAAATTAGAAAGGTGGAAAAAAAAAAAAGAATGGAAAAAACTTCACCTATCTCAGCTCTTCAAATTTCATGCATCAATAGAAGCTTCACAGAAGACCTTTCATTTTCAGAAAAATACAAATTAATGTTCAAATCTTTCATTTCCTTTGTTGGGACAGATGAAATGACATTTTGTCAGTTACATATGCAAATAGGTGCAATGAATTGTTTGAATTCGTGATCATCTTGAGAGTAAGTGCTACTGACATTGAACTTGCAATAAGGTATAAAAAAAAAAAAAAAAAAAAAAAAAAACTCTGGGATAGCAAAAACAATTTTTTTTTCCTTCACGTACAAGCTGTGCCTTTGATCCCAGCAGACAACCTTAGTATATAGAAAAAGAAAAAAAAAAAAGCTTTAAATTTTTTTACTCAGACCAATGGTGTTAAGACAGAAAGAAAAGGGCTCACTTAGAAACTTGTTGTGTATTAAATTCACAAGTCTAAAGGCAAACATGCCTTTAGCTTCATACTGAGCAGAACGTGCTCTTGGTTCTTTGGCATTTATCACACATTTGACAGTGAAAGAACTACTGAATCACAATTAGGGAGAAGATTTCCCAAGGTCCAGACATTTTAAGCATTTTTTTCTCAGCTCAATGCTTATTCAAACTTTATTAAGAATTTTAGATAGGGCTTTTCCTCTAAAGTGGGTCACAGAATGTCTGAGGGTCTGAAAACCTCTTGGTACCAGAATACCAAAGGTTAGAGCCAACTCTTCTATTTCCCTGAGCATTTCCGTTGTCCCCTAATCATAAACCTGTCATTCAACACACGGATATTAGAGTGTGGAAAAACTGAAGCTAAAGGTCAGATCTAGCAGATGAAATGTCTGCTAGCAAGGTGCATTTGTGGAATTGGATTCCTTCCCAAGTGTCATGATGTAGATTAGGAGTAAACCCCTTGAAATCAAGAGACTAAGAGCAGTCTCCAGTTGATGTTGGTAGGATTTGGTTCCACTGCCTCTGTGCATGGAGACAGGACCACGGTGAGCAATACAAAGGTTGAAAAAATAGATTATTTTATTATTCAACAAGATGTAAACATTGATTCCTGCCTGAATGCTTTAATCTTTCTCTCTAAAAGCCTCTTTGTAGGGCTTTCATGACTCAGTTACTTGCTTATAGTGTTAACTAGGCAATGTATTTTCACCAGTGGCATAGCTGAAGCAATATATTTAACACCTTCCATGTAGACTTGTGATACCGTGATTGGTAACATTTCTAGAATGTGATATTGCATAGTCTTTAGATTTCATCCCTCACTGCATATGCTACTTCTCAAACTGAGTAAAGGAAAAATGCTCAGATCAAGCTAGTGAGATCTGTGATTCACATAAATTCGCTTTTATGGGCATTCTGCCAAAGATGTATCTGCAGTCGGGTGATGCAAATAGCTGACTCAGTAGAAACTGAAACTTTGCAAAGTTTTTCTTAGAATTAAAATACTGTGGGAACAAAGAAGTAGCAGATACTGGACTGAAGACTGGGTTTAGCTTCATTTAACCTAACTTCATCCATTTACAAGTTTTGAGCTTAAATTACTCATACTTGCTTCCTTTATAGTCAATGTGAAAGTCTTCTCCCAGGAATAAGATAGAAATAAACCATCCAGAGTCATTATAAGATAGAAAAGTGATCTGTCTGTTAAAAAGCTTGACTACCTTCCTCCTGAGCAGGGTAAGGCTTGGACACTGAGTCCCCATCTAATGAATTCAGTGTATTAGGTTCTTTTACAGTGATTTACATCAGGAGTTGTTTTTTCTTTCACCTTTCCTGGCATAAATCTGGATTAAGTTCACTTAAATCATTGACAGAACAGCAATTGCTACAATTGAGTACTTTTTGATAGTTAATAAATAATTTTCAAAATGAAAATACATTAAATGGCACCACATCTAACACAAGAGAACTTACAACTTTAGATTTTGAATACTTAACTGTTTTACC